TGCTGTTAATACCCTATATGCATTTATTTTCTCTATCTGTTAAAATTCTAAATACCTGTCTTTAATGTGGGAGATTTGACATACACCCTCCTCTTAGGATTGTTGTAACATGTTCTAGTTTGTAAGGAGACATATTTTATTTTATTTTGCCTTTGCCACCATCTCTAAAGTTTCTATTTAAGAAATAAAATGTTTTTTTTTGTCTGTATAAGCTATATATCCAAATACTTACATAATATTAAATAAATTAGAAATTATGGTTAAAAACCAATGGTTTTAGGTTGACAAGTTTAGAGATATCATCCTTGATTTCATTAATTAGTTGTGCTTAGGGTTTTGAAGATGTTTATAGGTAATCCTGGAAAAAGAGTGCCCTAGTGCCCGAAAAATTGTAAGGATTCAAACAATTTTAAATAGGCACAACAGGTACCATAACAAGCAAGTTGTAGTTGTTATAGTTTTTCCTTTAATATAAACTGTACTAAAGAATGTGGTAAAATTAGTACGTCTCTAAATTAGAAGTTAGTCTTCTGTAGTAGCTGCTCAATATCTTTGTAAAAGTAAAGCATTACTCTCAAACAATCCACAATTTTTAGTAGAAGACAAAAAAGAGGTAGGTACAGTGCTGCTCCCAGGCAGCATTGTATTTTATCTTGTGAGGTCCTCCGTTTATTGCAACCCCAAAAGAGATAAACAGAGGAACTCACAAGATAAAATACAGGTTGCATCTAATGGTAATGAGGAAAAATACAAGGCTAACAATTAAATATAGTTCAAAAAGATATATGGCTTTATTGTTCTTGATAATCCAAAATAGGTCCTTATGTTAAAAGAGTTCTTTGTAGACTGGTTAATTTGGGTACAGTTTCAGTAGGTCAGCACCAGTGTTATTTTGGCAGCAAATTTCAATTTAGTTTTAGTCATAGACTTTTGTCTAAAAAGCCATTTTGGTTTTAGTTGTATTTTAGTCATCTGAATTGTTTTAGTTTTAGTCTAGTTTTAGAGGACTAAATCCCCAGTAGATTTAGTCGACACGACTAAAATCGAATGGGTATAGTTAAAGCCTCTATTTATCTCCTTTGCCTCTTCCCTAGCCCGCCATATGTCTCATTTCCTCTCCTCCCTCCCCCATGTGTCTCATTTCCTTTCCTCCCTCGCCCATGTGTCTTAACTGCCAGTGTTAATTTTGGCAGCAACTTTCAATTTAGTTTTTGCCATTTTAATTTTAGTTGTATATTTTAGTTATCTGAATTGTTTAGTTTTAGTCTTGATTTAGTGGACTGAATCTCCAGTAGATTTTAGTCAAATAAATCTCCAGTAGATTTTAGTCGACACAACTAAAATCTAATGGGTATAGTTAAAGCCGCTATTTGTCTCCTTTGCCCCTTCCGTAGCCCCCCCCCCATATGTCTCATTTCCTCTCCTCTCTTGCCCATGTGTCTAAACTGCCAGTGTTAGTTTTTGTCTAATGGGCTCAAAAAATTGTGAGTGTTTTGAGTTCTAACCTCTTCTCACTAAATATTTATACAGATTACACTATGTTGTGTTTTATTTTTATCTTTGTATAGGTAATATTCATAACACCTTTTATCAAGTGTATTGTGCTTTTAAGGTAACATTTCTTCTATTGTGTGTGCTTTCACCTTGTACCCCTGGATTATAAACACAATTGTGTTGTTAAAATAGGTTAATCTGGTACAAACATATTGGCATACATTACCTTCTGTAAAGTTTTTATAAGTCCCATCACTTTTTTTTCATTTAGTAATTTCCTTGTTCCCAAAACAACAAACAAACATTGTTGTCACTTTCAAATGTATTATTTATTGATTATGACAGCTGGGTTAAATAAAACACGTTTTACCTACCACAGTAAGTAAGTGGAGTGAACTCATCTGCTCTGACTAGTTTGATTAATCACACATGAAAAATATCATTTTTAGTCCGAGTCAATTTGACCTATTGTGTGGATATGTTTAATGTCATGGGCTTTTCCACTGATGTGTTTGCTTAAGACATAAACTGTGATAGAGTAATGAAACATGTCTGTTTCCATTGACTTTTCTTTTCTATTCCCAGGCTAATGGTTTTCCGGATGTTTTGTACAGCTGGACTCAAGATAAAATTCTATTGTCCACTTTGTTAGAGGGATGAAACTATCTATTAGGACCACCACAGGAGAAATGTTGCACTTTAACCCACTGCATGATATTTCAGGATGCTGTCCGTCTCTCAAAGAGGGAAAAATAGGAAAGTATTTGCCTAAACCACAAACTAATGTGATCTTCACTTGTATAAGATTGGTTAGATTAATCCAAAAACATTGCAGAAGAATATCAGATTACCCAAATTCCATAACAATCTATATTAACCTTGGAGTAATGCAAATTCTATATCATTTTTGGAATGCATATAGTTCCAATCTTGGAAGTCCAAGGAAAGGAATGATTGAATAGGGGAGATGACAATCAAGTTTAGTTATATAAATGGTGTACGTGACCGTGGAACATTTAAAATGGCAGCTCTCAGGAACTGAATATGAGCCAGAGAGAGCAGTAAAGTAGGGTATAAATTTATCAAGAAAAAACACTCAGGAACTAATATGTAATAAAGTTTTATTTTCACCAGTGTCTTTTCTGAAATAATATTTTATTATTTGCTTACTGCTCATTTGTGAATCTTCTCGAATAATGTTGGATGAGTCTGAAAATGCTTTGTCTTCTCAGACTGCCGAGAGACAGATACGTGAAAAGGACGTACACCATGTACCATAACTTATTTACTTTATGGAAATGATCTCATCTCCTTTCATATCATTTCCTTCACCCCACATGAGCCATGGCTTCCATCTTAAGTTATTCAATACTGCTTTAATTTCAGACACACTTTCTGCCGTAAGTATCCAATTCCAAAGTCATTCCACTAGGCTGGAATTATATATATATATATATATATATGTATAATACATTAATCTTAACAAACATCTCTCTAACTACCATGTGATTGTTTGCCAAAATATATTTGGAAAACAAACCTAAGATTACTATATGTATACGTATATGTCAGTAAATGCTTATGTCTATAAATGCTTATGTCTGTATGCAGCACCTTCAAATCCTAGGCTACTAGTCGTGCCTTAAAAATTACTCACCTCTGCAAGCCTTAAGGATCCAAGCCACACATTTATCATTCCATTTTCATAAGCTGTAAGTTATTATGTATAACACATTATATATAAGGAATGTAGAAAAAGTAATGCAGTGATTCACTAAGGTACAATGTGCACAGAGACGATTCTAGACTTGGTGAGGCCTTAGAAAAAGCTGAAATACGAGTCCTCATAATTTAACCATCCCTCTCAGACCTATACATTGCTCATTGACCCTTTTCCCATAATCTTCATCCCATTCTCTCAATAAACTTGCTGAGAGTTTTGTGATGACAGGCCACCAGACCACGCACAAACTTGCACAATGGTGTGCTTGTAAAGGCTCTTAACAATTCTTGTCTGAATGCTTTACTCCTGCAGAACTTTGCTAACATATATCACTATGCCCACGCTAATATAATCCACAGGATATATGGTTTGAGACTCCAGCCCATATCCCCTTGTCCATCCTCCTATGTGAGGTGCCTGGGGACATTTGTCCCCACCTGCCCCCTTGCGAGCCCTCCAATACTGCATTCAGAATATTTAAGATATCCATGAAAACTCACTTCTTTGACAAAGCATTTCAAATATCTAGAAAAAGAGTGTGGTATATAATTAATATATACCTCCAGTGGAGCGCTATAAATGTTGAGGAATTACTTCACAGAATCTTGATTGGATCGTATACGTCGCATACACATATGAAATATAAAAATATATAATATAGTGCAGATTGTAGAACACTCGTGCAATTAAGGTGAGGTAGATAAATGGATCACTCACATTTTCTAGAGCCTATATTATTTGCTCGGTAAACTGGACTGGTATGCTTTTTAGGGCAGCATCCCACCACTGTTTCTCCGATGTCCCTCGCACCGGTGGTAGAGACCTAATGTGCATGTGCAGCAATGGCCGCACACGCGCATTAGACCTCCCCATTATTCAATGCTATCCTATGGGGATTTTGGCGATGCTGGAGGTTCTCATGCATAGCATGAAGACGTCCAGCGTTTTATAACACACTTTTCGTGTTCTAAGAACCCACAGCCACTAGAGGAGGACTTAACCCTGCTATGTAATTATTGCAGTTTGTAAAAACTGCAATAATTACACTTTCAGGGTTACGGGTGGTGGGAGTTGGCACCCAGACCACTCCAATGAGCAGATGCGGTCTGGGTGCCTGGAGTGTCCCTTTAAATGTTCTCATTTAAAACACATGCTAATCCACTTCTGAGGATCACTGAAGGCCCAATAAAAAAGGCACATTAAGTAGCATTATTTTTAAACAGGGCTTATTTGCTTGGAGATAAAATAATCAATTTCTCATCAGTCTGTATTACTTTGTTTTATTCTTTATTGCCATTGATCACTCAGAATAAAAACGGTCTGGCTGGTGCCATATTATGGGGGAAATAACCAACCATTGTACTAAACAGTCTCATTAATATCTACAGATTTATTAATGTGATCTGTTCCATATTAGTAGAAAATCATTCTTTTTACATATGAATTGTATAGTATTAAAATTTATTTTGCCTCTTACAATATTATTACTTATAACCCAAAAATGCAGCATAATATGCAGGCAATTTAGGCATGCTTGTGTGAACACATTCATCCACAACAGAAAATGTGAATCATTGATATGGGTCATAGAGCAGGATATTCATTAGAAATGAAATAATTCAAACAAATTAGTAGATTTATTTTGTTTGTTAAGGATATACCTAAAATGTAACAACATCCTCTTTGCAATCAAAAGAAAACATAGGATTTAATATGAAAACGTTTTTGGAATATTTAGTTAATAATAAAAAATCAATTAATCTACATTTAATGAATACAGCTAAAATAATATCATCTGCTCTAATGCAGTATGTCTTGTATGAGGGCCACTGTTCAGCATATCCAGTCCAACCAACACATACTTACCTTGCAAATAGCCACCCTAGATGGCCGTTGCTGGTGTAACCACATTAAAATCAGAGACATACTTGATACAACCATTTTGGAGCAATTAACTTATGGCATCTATCCTCTCTTAAAATTAAACTAGATAGCTCGCTTTTGATGGGGCTTGCCGCTTGCCTAAATCTCCCCAGGCACTTCCATCTATTGTGTGAGCTGCTATTCTCTGTTCTTCATCACTAGATAAACATCACATTGTTTACATCACAGGGCAGTCTCCATATACTTTTGAAGAGTCTTACATAACTTTTTCCCTCTCAGTGAACTATTATATGACGGTTCACAAATTCATATATGATAGTTTAACTTGCAGTACTAGATAGGGCATTTGATCTTTTCATGTTATAGAATATTTACTATAGATGAGTATATTACTATGTGATTATATAATGTATTACTGCATTTTTAAGATCCTGATCCTATACTTGAGTAGATTCCATGTCTTGTTTTTAGATGTCACTTATACATATGTTTTAACATGTGATTATAATCTTTAATTAACTTAATGGGTTTTGGGGTTATTTAAACACTGATGTTATGATGTATCCCTTATGCATGATTAAGGCTCTGAGGAGCCAAAAAGTTGCACATATTTTGATGAGGTGGTGAACCCACGAATAAATTTACCTTCTATATCCTGGAGTGCTGCCTGTGTTTCTCTTCTTTGATACTGCATTGGTGGATTCAGCGGTGTCCATCCTACACACAGAGCACCCCCTTGGTGGAAGGCCGGGGCATATGTGCGGAACGTGAGTGCAGGGTATACTGTTTTTGTTGGACTGTTCACAAATTCTTGTCTACTACAAAGGCCCCTGCCTTCCTCACGACTCCATGACTCCCAGGACCTCAGCTCAGATGGAATCTTAAAGCCAGTCTATTCCCCACATCTGGGACACAAGCAAACGTTCTTTCCTAGAGGAGAAGAAGCTCATTCAGGCATTTGACTGGTGTTGGGAATGCTATAGAGATGGGTTTGGCTTGTTTTTTTTCTCGTATTTTCTTGTTTATGTTCTGTTTGGCTAGCCATAGGTTTCACCATCTGAGAGTTTAATTCCTCGCACTGTGGTGCTATGTTTGGTTCAGGTTGGGCCATCATATTTGGTGGTATTGTCTCACCATCAGCCATTGTTTTATTTGTTAGGGGTATCCATCACAGATGAGCTTATCCTGTAGATTAAGGGACCCATTTATTATCAATGGTTATGATTATTATTATTATTATTATTTTTATACAGAATACTCATTGTTCTCCTGTGGTAAATTGCCTCTAATCATTTGAACAATAATGTTGTACTCAAAATATCCAATTAGAGTTGAAATTGTGTCAAATGTCCTTACATTTGCTAATAATAATACTAATAATATAATCATCAACAAATAGACCTATAATGTTAGTATAGCCATTTATTCCAACACCCTTTAGTTGAGGATGATGTCTAATAGCCTCTGCCAAAGGCTCCATGGCCAATACAAATAAAAGTGACAGTGGGTATTCCTGTCTAGTGCAGTGATTTACATCTTTGTTTTGTAAGGACATTTTCAACGAAAATCTTTGTTTGGAATATGGTTAGATACCAAACTACCCCAGCTCATTCTAGGACAAAGTAAAGAAAGATTCATATCTTTGTAAATAGCCCCAGCTATATCAGCAAAAACAGAGCTGTGAATTCTTTCACCTACAGTGCAAACCCCAATTACTGTAACCACGGAGAACGAAAACAATGCTCTTTCCCCTCTAATTACCATAGCTGAACTTAGAGATTCAATATAAAGGTGTCACAAAAATCACTTCTTTAATGGTTATCTTTAACTGTGAAATAAGCCAAAGGTTTAAGAGGTTGTTGGTTGTTTTTTTTTTGTTGGCAGGTAAACCTAACAGGTCAGACAGCTAGGAAAAACTGGGAAACAGAGGGGAACTTTGAAATGCCTGCAGGGTAATTGCTTGAAAGGGACATGCTTAGGATATGCAAGAGTCAGGTCAAATGTCTACAGTTTAACTGTCACTGGAAAATGTGGGGATCAAAGTGGAAAGCACAATTAAAACTTAAATATCTCTATTCTAAATAAATGTCTCTATTTGGTGGGATCCATTTAAAATAACACAATAAAGCGGCAAGTTCAAAATGTCAGATATTATTACTTTGATGATAGAGTGTAGCTGCATTTGTAAGAGTGAAGTGTCAATACTCCACTAATAAAGGAAAATGCCAAGCCTCCCCGCCCCCCACCCCGTATAAGTAAAACCTTTCTGAATGGTATGATTTCTTACTTGGGGTCCATAAGGCGCTGGTCCATGCCAGAAGTTTCAGCTGACGGCTCAGCCAATGAGCACCCAGCGTACTACAGGTGAGAAATCAAACTGTCCCAAAATAGTTTGACTACTTACAATATTGGGGAGACCAGGGCATCCGTGTTACCATAATCACTACACCAAACTGTAGTGGTTATGGTGCTGGGAATGTTCCTTCAATTGATGCTTTTAACCCCTTAAGGACCAAACTTCTGGAATAAAAGGGAATCATGACATGTCATATTAATTCCATCCATTCCCATTTGGACAAGAAAGATTTCTAGGTACTCTTACTTAATTTAATCCACATTACAAAAATCCTTACAGGTGCTACTTGTATACTGGGCCGTGTTGGTTAGGTTCAATGTACTCCTAGATGAAGAAAAATCTGTATGCACCCTAAATTAAGTTTTTGTTCCCCTCCTACTCATCCACCCATATTTGATGGTCCGGGCAGTAGAAAGCATACGTAGAACTGATATCAGTGCATTACATGAGGTTTTATTGTTGACTGGTAGGGGCAATGCTCATCACTGATATCTGTGAACCTCTATAGGCGCTGTTCTTTGTTAAAGGGTCTACAAACACAGGTGTTCTCTATAGACCACTTCTTTAAGAACATCAGTCTTACATTACATTTAATACGGGTTTTGGTATCATTTTGTAAAAGTATTACAGGCTGTTCAGTGAATAGGGGCCAAGTTTGCTCTAAATAAGAATTGTCCATAAAACATCTCACAAATGATTAATTCAGGTGTGTTTTCTACCGATATGGCATCTCTGAAAAAATCTGACAACATCTACACAAATTTAGAGCTCTCCTAGTCCACTAATATGTTATTAATTATTGCAGGCAGTGTTACAGATATGCATTAACTGACTAAACCTATTTTATTTCATCTCCTTAATTAAGGACTAAATTGTAAATAACCTCCCTCACCCCCCCATATTGGCATTATATTCATAGTGTAATGTAAATTCTCTTTTTATATACATTTTGATATGGTATATACTTATTTGTGCGATGGTTGTTTTCAAACTATTCTTTTTAATGCATTTTGTTTATTATCGTGTTATCTAATATTTGAAAGCTATGTGATGCTATGTTTGTGAAATACATACAAAAGGAAGCAGAGGGATCTGTGCGTAGGGGCCCTGCTCTCCAGGATTTTATCATTCAAGGGCGCAGAATGCTAGGGGTATTACAATTTACAATATAATTATCTCAATAGCTAAATGAGCAATTATCTTAATACAGAAATTTTAGGGAAGGATGTGGAAGACCCCTGAGGCTGTCTTCTGACTTCTCTGACTCGCAAATGTAACCCTTGGAATATCCCCCCACCACAAATATGGATGTAACATCTTAAGGACCAGGGGTTAGACAAGTCTCTTTATCTCATGAGCATTTAAGGGGTTATTCAAGCTTATTTAAATGTTTTGGATGACTTCTGTCCTCGTGTGCTGCTTGTCTGATGCTTTCTTCTGGAACTAAATGTAAAGTGGAAAACTACAGATCTCAGTATTTGCTGCAAGTTGAAATGTCACAGACTTGTAAGAAAAATAACAACAATAATTCTGTTTACTAGGCAGGAAATACAATCTCACAGCTCTGGCTTTCACACCTTGCTGTAAGCTTTAAACCTTTGGTTAATGATTGCAGAAGTTATTTGCAATTACAATAACATCATGTCATTAGTTAGCAACGAAAAATGGTGCATTGTAAGAATGCATATTCTCAAACTGAATCAATGACGAATAGTTTGTTCCCTTTCAGAGAAGTTTCCATGCAAAGCTGTGATTTTAATGTCATATTTCTGCTGCTATTAAGCAAGTGAAAGTTCATGCCTTCAGCCACCAGCAATGAGATCCACTATTTCCATACAGCAACCATGGGAACATTGCCACCTGCTTGGAAAGGTACTTTAAAATATTTGCAAAACACAATCTCCTCAGCCTACAGAACAAGCAGATTAACCTCTTCAGGATGTAGTCAATAGTACACGTTCTGATCAAAACAAAATGTAAACAAAAGCCTGGAATTTGCGCTATATGTCTGTTCAACCGTAATTCACCTCTTTCATATTAAGTACACCCACACTTATTATATATCATTTTGTTCAGGAGAAACAGCTTTAATTTGTCATGAACTATTTATTATGAATAAAATTAAAAAAACTAAGAGGAAATTAAGATTTTTTTTTAAATTTGTAATTCAGCCTGCCATTTTAGCTGTAAATGTCATAATACTGTTAGCTTTTACTGCAATAAAATTCACATAGTTGTATTCAGCAATGTCTCACAAGTACAACAGTACTCCCATTAGCAGATTTTATGGTGTTTTGGAAAGTTACAGGGTAAAATTTAGCACATTTAATTTTTCTTTTTTTTTTCACATTGAAATTTGGCAGATTAGTAATGTTACCTTTGAGACCGAATGGTAGCCCAGGAATAAGAATTACCCCCATGATGGCATACTATTTGCAAAAGTAGACAACCCAAGGTATTGCAAATGGGGTATGTCCAATCTTTTTTAGTAGCCACTTAGTCACAAACACTGGCCAAAGTTAGCCTTCATATTTGTTTTTGTGTAAAAAAAAAAAAATATTTGGCCAGTGTATGTGACTAAGTGGCTAATAACAAAGACTGGACATACCCCACTTGCAATACCTTGGGTTGTCTACTTTTGCATATGGTAAGCCATCATGGGGGTAATTCTCATTCCTGGGCTACCATACACTCTCAAAGGCAACATAACCAATCGTGCAAATTTCAATGTCAAAAAAATGAAATGCAAGCCTTATATGTGACTCTTTAAC